TAACACCGACTCTGGCATAAACTTCCGGCAGTTCGTGACACAGCATTTACACAATGATTAATCCACGAGTCTGTGGGACTGTTTAAAGACATCCTAATTGCTAAAGTAAGTTAATGTGTTGTTTGAGTGTGTTTGAACGTTTATTCACCATCTTGACACGTAGTGTCTGTTGGATAAATTATGGATACATTGAGAGATTTCATTCTCTCTCTTCACGCTAGCAAAGCTAGTAGCTAATCAGCCTTACACAGCAAGAATAGCACCCCGTTCTCCGATATAGCTTAAAAGCACTTATCTTAAGCTTTCGGGAACATTCAGACTTAGTCTGAAAGAGTGGTTGTGTAGCAAAATTCGTCACTACCGCTCCGATGCGCGCATCTGCTTAGTGTAAAACGAACAAAAGAAGTTTGCGCATCGACCAGCGGGTTCTGGTTTGACCCAGGTCCTCCACTCGCCCACTCAAAGCTCCTGGACCTCTTCCTCATTCACCAGCGCCAGCTCCCGGACCCACTTCAACTGAGGAGCCTATGCAGCTAGGCCACCTTCCCCCGGAGGAGAGACAGCGATGGTGGCGCGAGGGTCTCTGTGCCTATTGTGGCTCTCCCGACCACCGGCGCCTGGACTGCCCATTACGGCCGGGAAACGGAAGAACCCACTGAGTATCGGGGTAGCTCAGCCCGGGTCACCCTCTGCCCCTATCTCTTCCTACCGACTACTCCTTCCTGTCACCCTCTTTCACAATGAGACCTCACATCAGGTACATGCTCTGGTGGACTCGGGGGCCGCCGACAACTTCATGGACGTGGATCTGGCTAAATGCCTACGGATCCCCTTGACTCCCCTGGAACGAGTTGTTCCGGTGACCTCGGTGTACGGCAGACCTCTCTAGCCCTATCCTGTCCAAGACCGAACCCAGTCACTCCAGGTGGTCCTCCAAGGCCACCGGGAAACCCTCCACTTTCTCATCATCTCCACTCCCTCCTCTCCTCTTATCCTGGGGATCCCCTGGCTCCGTCTCCACGATCCCCAGATTTCCTGGTCCCAGAACCAGCTTTTAGGCTGGGGGACCCAGTGCCAGGCCCACCTCTCTCCTCCTCCACCCATGGCAGACCGCCCGGCTAGTGGTCTTGCTCCTCTACCGCCCAATCTGCCACTACACTATCGGGACCTGGCCGCAGTCTTCGATAAGCGACGCGCCACCACACTGCCGCCTCAATGCCCATATGACATGGAGATCAAGCTACAACCAGGTACCAGTCCTCCCTGTGGGTGCCTTTTCTCTCTCTCTCCCTCCGAATCCAGAGCTATGGAGGAATATATCAACCAGGCCCTCCAGCAGGGTTTCATCTGACCCTCCTCTTCCCCGGGTGCTGCAGGCTTCTTCTTTGTGAAGAAAAAGGAAGGTGACCTTCGTCCCTGTATAGATTACCGGGGTCTAAACAAGATCACTATCAGGGACCGCCATCCCCTGCCACCCCTCACGACTGCTCTGGACTCCATCTCCCAGGCGCAGATCTTCACAAAACTGGACCTCCGGAGCGCCTACAATCTGGTCCGCATCAAAGCTGGGGATGAGTGGAAGACCGCATTCATCACAACCACCGGTCATTGGGAGTACCAGGTCATGCCCTTCGGGTTCTGCAATAGCCCCGCCGTATTTCAACGCCTCATCAACAATGTCCTCCGCAACATGCTGGGCCAGTGGGTGTTTGCCTACCTGGATGACATCCTAATTTACTCCAAGTCCGAGGCCGAACACCTCCACCATGTTCGCGCCGTCCTGACCCGGCTCCTGAACAATAACCTATACTGCAAGCACGAGAAATGCTCTTTCCACCAGCAGACCATCTCATTCCTGGGCTTCATGATTTTGGATCAGGACATAACCATGGATCCTCAGAGGGTCCAGGCGGTCACTGACTGGCCCCTTCCTACGAGCCCAAAACAGCTACAGAGTTTTCTGGGCTTCTGCAACTTTTACCGCCGTTTTATTAAGAACTTCAGCACCATTGTGGCACCGCTCACCTCCCTCACCTGACCAAGCCCATCCAGCCAACCATTCCGTCTAACTCCAGATGCCATTTGGGCCTTCCGCCACCTGGTCACCCGGTTCACGTCGGCTCCTATCCTCCGCCATCCAGATACTACGGAGCTCTTTGTGGTCGAAGTCGATGACTCGGACGTCGATGCCGGTGCCATCCTGTCCCAAGGTGGGCCCGACGACAGGCTCCATCCCTGCGCCTACTTCTCTAGGAAGTTTTCCGCCACCCAGCAGAAGTATGGCATGGGTGATCGTGAACTGCTGGCCATAAAATGGGCGCTGGAGGAGTGGAGACAGTGGTTTCTAGGCACCACCCAGCCTTTCACTATCTGGACGGACCACCAGAACCTGACTCACATCCGATCCGCCAAGCAGCTCAATCCTCGCCAGGTCCGCTGGGCCCTCTTCTTCGAGCCTTATGAGTTCCATCTCGCCTACCGCCCTGGAACTAAGAACCAGAAGGCTGATGCCCTCTCCTGCCAGTTCACACACTCCACACCAACATCCGAGCCTGCACCAATTCTCCCAGAGCACCGTTTCCTGGCCCACCTAAGGTGGCCGTTGGAGGAGGCTATCCAGAACGCCCTCTGGGACGACCCCGCACCTCCAGAGACCCCCGCGGGTCGTCTCTATGTCCCTACATCCTGTCGCAGCGAGGCACTCTCCTGGGCCCACTCGTCACGCCTGTCTGGCCACGCGGGGTTCTCTCGAACTCTGAAGTTCCTCCAACGAGCACTCTGGTGGCCATTCATGGCGAGAGATGTTAAGGAATACACTAGCGCCTGTGACATCTGCGCCCGCTCCAAAACACCCAGCCAGGCCCCTGTTGGTGTCCTCAGACCTCTTCCGGTGCCCAGCCGTCCTTGGTCCCACGTGGGTCTGGATTTTGTTACAGGACTCCCCCCGGTCAACAACCTCAACACGGTCCTCACGGTCACTGACCGGTTTTCTAAAGCTGTCCACTTCATCGCCCTTCCGTATCTCCCTTTGGCCCGACGCACGGCAGAACTATTCCCGGAGAACGTGGTGCGCCTCCACTGCTTCCCTGTCGATGTGGTCTTCGACCAGGGTCCCCAGTTTACGGCCTGATTCTGGAAAGCCTTTGCCACCTAATGGGAGCATCGGTCAGCCTATCCTCAGGCTATCACCCGCAGACCAATAGTCAGATGGAGCGGGTTAACCAACAGCTGGGTCGGTACCTCCGGTGCTTTGTCTCGGCCCAACCCTCGCAATGGCCTAAATACCACCTCTGGGCAGAGTTTTCCCACAGTCTTCACACCTCCTCAACCACTCAAATGTCCCCTTTGAGGTCTGCTATGGATACCAGCCCCCGGTCTTCGCCCACCAGGAGCCCGAAGTTGCTGTACCTGCCACGCAATCCCTAGTGAGGCGCTGCAAGAACGCCTGGATCAAAGCACGAGCTTCCATCACCCGAGCTGACGCCCGTTACGCTCGCCAACATCTCTGTCGACACCGTCCTGGTCCCTCCTATGTCCCTGGGGATAAGGTCTGGGTGTCCACCGCGGACCTCCGCTTCCGTGCCGGATCCAAGAAGCACGCTCCCCGGTTCCTCGGGCCTTACACCGGACAGAAGGTCATCAACCCAGTCTCGTACTGGCTGCGGTTGCCGGCGAGTCTCCGCATTCATCCCACCTTCCACACCTCCCAGCTCAAGCCCTATGTGGACTCCTCCCTGCTTCCGCCTCCGGCTCTGGTGCCTCCGCCTGCCCGCTTCCTCGACGGTGAGCCCATCTACACCGTCCGACGCGTCCTGTACGCCCGTCGCAGAGGTCAGGGATGGCAATACCTCGTGGACTGGGTGGATTACGGCCCCAAGGAACGCACCTGGGAACCGGCCCGCTCCATCCTGGACTCTACCCTTATCTCTGACTTCTGGGACAGCCGGGGCCGCCCTGGGACTTCAGGAGCCGTCCCTGGATGGGGGGTCCTGTCAGAACCCAAGTCCCCAAGCCAGCCTCTCCCAGCTAGCTGATCTCCACCATGGACCACATCTCCCAGCATGCCCCTTGCGGGGATTCCCTCCAAGTCACACCTACGTCACTAACCACGACTATATACGGAAGTCGCCTCCCTAGCTCACCACTCAGTCATCGTTTCTTCAGATCCATGATCAGAGTTTCCAATCAACCGATCCATCTTACGAACTATCCGCTCACAGTAAGTGTTCTTACTTACTTCTGGAAAACCCAGCATTTCCGTGTCACTTCATTTATGCTCAAACGCTCGGGGATTCCTAGATTAAATTGTGAGACGGTGTTCTGGGAATTTCTCCTACCCGGTAAACCGTCCTACCCGTTGCTCCTGAGCATGTGCGCGCATGCGCACAACACAAAAAGGGAATGCTACTCCATTGTCATATTTGCGGGAAAATAGGTAAGTTGTAAATATTAGTACTTTTTATTGACGTTGATACTTGATTTTTTTGGGTTAGGGTTAGGGTAAGGGTTAGGGTTTGTGTCATGTAAAACACCGTAAAATTATCCTACGGGTAGGACGTTTTCTCAGAACACTGGCGTTTCACCGACGCTAACACTTCCGCGTCTGTGAAACCACGCTCTCTACAAGCTCAACTCCCGAATCCAGCCGACCAGTCTGACACATGGAGAGCTTTTATATTTAATGATATATTTTAAATGACTTGATGGCGCTTTATTTTCTGCTGAACTGAAGATGGGAAATTGTTTTTTAATTGTTTATTTCAACAATGACAATAATGTTTGTCTGATTACTGACATTATTTATTCATTTGGAATAAATACTTTATATAACGGTAAATACTGAAGCGGTGGGGTGAGAAGCTATTCAGACACAAATACAGAACTATACAATACTTTAATCATTTTGTTTCATGGAAATGTCTACAGCCATTTGTGAAATAAATACCATAAATGAATAAATGAATGAAATGAAAATGAATGAACATTAATGGGTTCAACTCATCTACATATAAAATGGATGGACATACACCGCCCATTGATCTGTGGGGGTCAGGTTTGAAGCCAGTTGGGAGGTTCCCACCACTGTCAATTGGGCCGTGTCACAGGTCTCGTTACACCCTGACAATCCAAAAATGGGGAAAGAAGTGGAGCTGAGGGTGGGATGGGTACGTCTGGTACAGGATTGGAACCAAATGAACCAATGTAGCCACTAGCTAACTTAGCTAACCCAAGAAGCTAAAAATGAGCTCCAAGGTAGCCCACCTGCGTGGCCACCTGGTTTCCTGTGCGAGGCTGTCATGCTGATAGCTTGTGGAGCTTTAATATGGCCTGTTAAAATACAAGCAGAGCCTCAGACCTCTGCAATCGGACCCGGCCGCTTTGGCCGCTTACGTGAGGTCGGAGATCAGCGGGAGATTAGCTAAATGCTAACTCGAGTTAACGAAGGATTTTCAAGTACTGATATAAACGCAGTATAGTGACTCCTTTCTATAGCTTTGGCTCTGTCAACACCGGCAGGCGATGCGACTGCATTTCTAAAATAAAGCATGTAATTTTGGCGGCACGTGTAGCCGCAGCTCACAGTGCTAGGAGAAAGAACCGGGCATGCCCGTCCCGTCAACAGCAGATGGAGCTCACCACTCCGCCCATCTAACGAGAGTGGAAAAAAGCACATCGGCTTGGATTATACAGATGGGATTCTGTGTGTGAAATAACGCCAGTTAAATTATTACTTAAGTGTTGTTTGTGTGCATGTTGCTCAGTAGCTAATGCTATAATTAATATAATCAGTTTTTTTTTCATAAGCCCAACACACTGGGCATGATCGTGATGCGTGATTGGGGAGCGCAGGCGCCGGTTTAGTGTCAGATATTGGAGGTGTGGCGTGAGAGAGTGTGAAGGTCAAATGCTTGTGTCTCATGCTCAGTGTGTAAGAGGTGGCAGCCAGTTCACAGAGTGGAAATGGCCTAACATCCATTAACGTGAGGCTCAGGCTGAGGCCTTTCCCCAGAGCTAGCTTCCAGTGCTAGCTCTGGCGCTGACTTGACTCTGATGCTCATTAATTATTTAGATTTTTAAGCATTCAATTACACTTAAACAGAAAATAGTTTTACTTATTTTTTTATTAAGAGTAAAAACCAAATAATCAGACAATCAGTAGAGTGCATTAACAAGATATTCAATAAATATACATTCCTCCTGTATCTTTAAAGGTATACAAGATTTTTCCATTAGCATAACTTGCAGAAAGGCTTATTGTTCTTAAAGGCAGGGCATGCAAGCAGCAGTCATGCCGAAACAACAGAGTAAAGGTAATGCAAGCAACATTGAAAAGCTTCAACTATGAAATCAGTGCTTAATTTGTGCAGTTCCATACATAATTTGATAAAAACTTTCAGAGGTTTCAGTCAAACAGAATAATAAAGGACGATGCACAACAGGTGACACAGAAACATGCCTTTTCTTGTCATTGCTTGGATTTTGTCATGTAGCCACAATACATTTAACCCCTGACACATGGAGGTTAGGGTTAGAAAAACAATCTCCAGTGTCATGCATAAGGCTTAGACCCTGCCAAGCGGGAAACAGTCACAGCTTTTTAAGCTCAAGTCGGTTTAAAAACATGTGCAGAATACATATTTTACACATACACATGGAAATAATATATTAGCAGCATTTCTTTCCATATGAGGTTTGCAGTGATCTAGATTAAAATGTACACTTAACCAACATGACATTGTGGTGATGTAATAATAATAACAATAATGCATTGAACTTAAATAGCACTTTTCTAGACACCCAAAGATGCTTTCACACACTCTCACATTCACACACTGCTAGTGATGGTAAGCTACGTGTAGCCACAGCCGCCCTGGGGAGGTCTGACAAAGGCGAGGCTGCCATTTGGCGCCGTCTGCCCCTCTGACCACCACTAACACAGGCAAGTTGGGTGAAGTGTCTTGCCCAAGGACACAACAGCAGGATACCCCTGGCGGGAGCTGGAATCGGAGCCATGACCCTCCGATCATGAGGCAACCCGCTCTACCACCTGAGCTACTGATGCCCACATGTAGTGCTATACACAAAAAGGGAGAAAGCACAAAACAACTGAACTTATGGATATTTTAGGTTACATTTTCTTGCTTTTGTAAAAAAAAAATCTTTAAAATAAAGCTGCAACATATGGACTTGATAAAAACATATTTTAAAAAAAAGTCTCCCATAATGTCCACTAGATGGCAGAAGTTATCTGTGATGGCAAGCCCATTGTTAAGTGTTTTCCTTTATCTTTATGCAAAACTGTTAGATTTTCCACTCACAAAGACATAAATTATAATCCAGCAATCAGAGATTGTGATTATTATTTAACAGGTACATAAAGCACCAGGGAAAAAGCCAAACAAACAGATTTCCTGATAATTTTTAGTTTTTCTCAGACACAGCTCTAATTACAGATGTGCTACTTTAAGCCCAAAGAAATAAAAGTAACCATGCGTTATGAGTTAATAATATCCCTGGATATAAGCAAATGCTTGGATACAAACCACACAGGCACCGTCAGTTAAAGGTATGTAAACACATGCTACGTGCGAACATTCAAAATGCAAAGAAAATGTGCTACAAGCTTTCATTCAAGTGTTAAATAGCTAATCTCCACAAACAATCTACAGTATAAGTTTAGTTTTGACTACAGTAAAGGGATTCAGGCATGACATTACAGACCAACACGTCCTTGAGGTTAGGGTTAAACTGCAGCCTTCAACTGTCAGCTTTGTTAAAAATTCATTGTATTGATTTGGTTGGCAGCAAAAACCCCTCTGACCCATTTTTACAACTCCGAGAAACTCAATAGAAAGCAGGATTTAGGTATAAAGACAGGAATTGTCATTTATTAGGAGCCCTTCAGATTTTCCTCCAAGGAAAAGGGGTTCCACTGCCCCTTCCTGTCATATGACGTTTGGGCAGGTTCGTAGTTTAGCCATACAGTGCAAAAAAATTTATAAACAAAATAAATAAATAAACAAATAAAGGGTAATTAATGCACAGCTGCATTATTTAATATAATCACATTCTCTGTAAAAAATAAAATAAAAACATTTGACGATCATTAATAAGAAAAGGTTTCTGGGATTGCGCACCCATTTCCTGGATTTAAAGATATTGGAACAGGATAGTTATGAATTTGAGATGCTTTTAGAGCTCCTGTTCCTCTACTTTTGGGTCAGAATTCAGAACAGATTTAAAGTAACACTTTGGTCTAGTTCACTAGGCTAACACTAAACAGCTTTTAAGCTAATCCTTCAACGTGGGTTTGAGTGACTGCGTGAGTAAAAACATTACCAGCTTCATCTCAAACAGCCCTCTGCTGACCAGAAACCAGATGCTATGAAATTTTTTCATATTTTTAAACCAGTTTCAAGAGCCAGTATGTGCCAAAATGACCTTTTACAGCAGGGGTATTCAATTCCGAGCCTAGAGGGCCGGTCTCCAGCACGTTTTAGCTTTAACTCTGTTTCAACACATCTGATTTCAATCAGCAGGTAATTAACAGGCTTCTGCAGAGCCTGATGAGCTGCTGCGCAGGTGACTCAATCACTGAATCACGTGTGTTGGAGCAGAGACACCACTAAAATGTGCTGGATACAGGCCCTCCGAGCCACTAGCATCGGCTCCACACCACCTGGATAGTTCCAGTAAGCCCCAACCTGGCCTGGTTGATTCCACACATCCTTGCTTAGGAATGCAGTCAGAGAAGTTCTCAGCTACTATAGGTAATCAGCATGATAATGAGTTGTGCATGCCTTCAGCCCATGTGGGCTGATTCTACCCACCAGTCAGAGGCTTCCTCTAATGAAAGACATGAATTTGCTGACTGGTAAGTGGGCTTATTGGTCAGCAGTGGGTGTGTTGGCCCTGGTCAGCCTGAAGCAGACCACCTCAGAAAGGGGGCTGAAACAGTCTGGTTGCACCCTGAATAAAGGCAGGCTATGTGGACACTCTCAACATCCCTGCTTTACAGGGTTAATGAAATTCCCCACCAGGACAATAGAGGGCATAGCACTTTTCTGTGGTATCATGCTACCATTACACTCATGTATCTGGTCCATAGTTTATTTGTTAAGGTGTTTATATATTTCAGAGACTTCATAATGCAGACACATCTGTCCTTCACTCTCTTCCACCTCGTCATGTGGTCTCCATCTCTAAACCATGCTCTTATCATTATATCCTTCCACGAATAAAACTTTTACTCCATACTTTGCACTCCTTCAGTCACGGGTGAATAAACGTTCATATTTCCTGACTTTCCCGTGCTGCATTTTTCAATCTGTTCTGTGTCTGCCGCTGAATATCTTTTTACTTTTTAACAAGGCAATGACAGTGCTGTGGACAAATTTACAGGAAGCCGTGTCCTAACCAATCGCAAGCTAGTACATCCATTTCAACAAATATTAAAAAATGTGGCCATGTCTCTGTCACCATCTGTCTGAAAGCTCTTGCACCGACGCATAATGACATTGTGTGTCTCCACACCGAAGTTGATGGAGAAGTGTGAATCAGGCTTAAAACAAACAGACAAACGTATAGCACTGAGATGAGTTATTTTACTAAATGAACACTGGGGGTGCTAAAATCAAGTCAAAACTGCCTTGTTTCACTTTAACGGTTTTGTGGAGTGGGTAGGTGCTCTGCTTTATGGCTATTAGCTATTAAGCTAGCAATTAGATTTTTCAGTTCACCAATCGTTAATAAAAAGGCACAAGAAGACGAAAAAGATGTTTGCGTATTTGTTGGCATCATGGTGGAGCCTAGAAGAAAAAAGTAAGAGAGTTATGTCTTTGGAAGCAAAGCAAATTGCTAAAACTGGAGTGTACATCGGCACGGCCTACGCAAGTTTGAGGGACCTAAAGGATGCTACAAAATCATGGACTGATGGTGACCCGGCTTTGTTGTATCGGGACTTGTAATAATGTTATTTTTCCAACAGTGGGGATCTTTTTATTTTGTGGTTTATGTTAGTATTAGTTGGTTCAGGCTAGTGTTCGCTCATTGTTAGCACTAGCTACAGCTGGCTGCAAGGTCGTTGATGACAGTTGTAATTCCACTTTCAACCAGTAGGGCGGAGGAGCAGGAAACTACTTAGTGTTACTTTAATGAATTGTTTTTCTAATTAGCAGCTTGAGTCATGTCAATTGATGTTTTCTATTAAACCTTTAGTTTGGTTCAGATGTGAAATTACACTTTGTAGTGTTTTTCAATTGGAGTTTTGCATCTCCTTTGAATAAAATGCAATAGGAGATTACTTACATAAGGACAAAGTATGCACTCAGTAGTGGTAACTAAAAACAAACTGTGTGTAAAGTTCCCACTAGTTTGAAGTGTTAGCAATCCAAGATGTAGCTCGTGTGGCTGCACATGCTGCACTGCTTCCTGTCTCTGCACAAGCATCCTGCTGTTCCTCCTTTTAAAGGGTGATAAGTTATGACTGCCACCAACACCTTAAGTGACAGCATTCAGGCAGTCAGTGCAAATGTATGTGTTATTTCACAGAGAGACCTCAAGTAAAATTAAATGAATAGCAAGGATCTGTGTTAGTATAAATCTTTAAATCAGTGTTTAATTTGAACCAAAATCTCTTTGTTTCCTTTCCCTTTCAAAGTGCCAGACTGGAGATGGAGAATTCCTTCCCTCTCATGGTCTTCCTTGTTGTGTCTTAAATCCTTAAAGTTTTTACTTTACTAAAAAATGACAGTATTGAAGTGCTACAAAGAGCAAGTGGTAGACACTTAGAGAGCTATCAGTTTTCCAAACAGTTCCTTGAAAGTCACAGAGATCCACTGGAAGTCTCTCTGAAGCCGCTGCTTTCAGTCGACTGGCTGGTTGGATGTGCTGGAATGTCGTGGTTCTGTACCCGTCTGTCGTCAAGGTGATTCACTCTGATTCCAGCCCTCTTTTGGTGACTGTCCATTATTGGCACTGTTTCATTAGCAACACTTTGTTGGCTAATCTTTCTTAGCCTGTCGTCATGGTGAGCTGCTTTGTCTTGAGTCAGTCCACCAGCATTGTGTCGGTTTCTCAGTGGTGCAGGCCCGTTATCATACGGACCTGTTCTGATAGGTACTGGTCCAGTGTGGCTGGCTTTGTAATTAGTGACTGAATGCTCGTTACAAACAGGTATCTTGTCATTCTGAAGTGTGCGGGTGTAACGTGAAAACCAGTCCCGCTCAAAAACAGCCCGTAACTGCTCCACTACAGAGTTGTTCCTTTCTTTGATGGTTTCTGGGTGGCTGATCACAAGGCCTGCTCCTGCGTTATAGGTAAACTCCTTCCCCACCCAGTCAAGGTTACCTGTCAGGAAACAGACCACAGGGATGACGGTAAACACATTTCTACAAGCAGTAGACTGGATAGATGGCTATAAACATTTATCTGCATGCAAACAATAATTTTTGTAATAGGACTGTCAGGATCGGTACCTGTTTGTTTGTTTGTTTGTTTGTCTTTGCCTTCAGCTCCCCTGATATCCATGCACACCTCCTCCCAATGACTCAATTCACCTGTTCCATGTCTCTAACCGTCGATCTCAGTGTATGTACAGGTGAAACCCGAAAAATGTGAATATGGTCAAAAAGTTCATTTATTTCTGTAATTCAACTTAGACTGAGAGATTATCTAAAGCAGGGGTATTCAATTCCAGACCTGGAGAGCCATTATCCAGCATGTTTTGGTGATTTCTCAGCTCCAACATACTTGAATCACTGGTTGAATCACCTGTGCTGCAGCTCATCAGGCTCTGCAGAAGCCTGATAATTACCTGCTGATTGAAATCAGGTGTGTTGAAGCAGGGTTAAAACTAAAACCTGCTGGATACTGGCCCTCCAGCCCCGGAATTGAATGCTCCTGCTCTAAAGGCTCAGGAACCCTTTGCAGGTGTTCTGGATTCATCAGCTGACTAGAGTCTGATCCTTTGAGTCTAGAAAACTGAACCTTTTCACAATATTCTAATTGTCAGGGTTTTTGAATGTGGGGTTTCCATCATCACAATTATACCAAAGAAAGGTTTAAAACATCTTGCTTTGCATGTAACGAGTCTGTCGTATATTAATTTTACCTTTTAAGTTAAATTACTGAAATAAATGAACTGTTGTACAATATTAAAATTTTTCAAGTTTCACCTGTGCACTCCCACTTTTCATTTTCTTGACTCAATGTCTCCTGCTTACCAGTCTCCTCCCTGCCTCTCCCAGTAGTTCCTGTTTCCTGGTGTTCTATAAGTTCTGTTCTGCAATAATTGATCACTTTAAAACTTTCCTTTCTAATGCATTTGCTGTGGTTTGTAGTATGAACAAATGCCTTTAAGTCTTTCTCTGTGGAAACAGAAAAACCTTCTCGATCCCCAGTGAGTCGTGGAGGATGGCTGCTTATACTGAGCCAGGATCCTCTGGAGGTTTCTTCCTGTTAAAAGGGAGTTTTCCTCTCCACTGTCGCTGCATGCTTGCTTAGTATGAGGATTGCTGTAAAGACTCTGACACTAGTCAGTGACTCGATGCAACTTGCTGGGTTCCTTATCAAGGAACCATTTACTGGTTGGCTTAATGAACTGACTTGTATTGGAAGGTTTATGATGTGAAGTGCTTTGAGACGACTCTTGTCGTGATTTGGTGCTATATACATAAACCGGAATTGAATACAAAGCTCCTGCACTCCTGTTTGAAGATAACAAACCAGATGAGCTTACCTAAATAAATGGCTCTGTCTGAAACCATGAACCTGTTGTGGTTCATTACGTGTTTCTGCGTAGGGCTGAAGAACTTCTACGAACACAAAGACACACAGTGGTACTGTGAGCGTTGAGAAAGTTAATCCATAGAGCTGAAAACAGTACAGAGTAGCTTAGAACTTACGGCTTCCAGCGAGCAGTTGCCCTGCTCCATGCACAGGCTCTTCAGGGACCAGATAAAGTTAAACGTAAGAGGATGAGTTTTTTCCCAGCAGCTTATCAGCAAACGGATGCGCACCTTCCTCAGGATCAGAGCTTCTCTTATGAGACTGTCGATACGAGACCAGTACCTTGGCATGGACAAGGGTGGGCGCACAGCCAGATGGACAGAGAGGCATACACAGAGTTTAATCACTTGAATCAAAGCGATACATCCAAGCTTTTAATGGTAAATGCATGCCAAAACAGTGTACAGTGTCAGTGTGGTTCTAACCTCAGTGTGCTGCTGCTCAAGAGAGGCAGGTAATCAATAATGGAGATGTATATGAAATGGCGGGCCTGCTGGATGACCCTGGAAATGGCTTCAAGATCACTGCTACGATCTTTGGGGATGAAAGCATCTGGCGAGCTCTGTCAACAGAGAATGGCAACCGGAGTAAGGAATTGTCGATCCCATAGGGCAATGCATACACATCTGCTGATGGTGTAGTGCTCTCTAAACACACACACACACACACACACACACACACACACACACACACACACACACACACACACACACACACACACACACACACACACACACACACACACACACACACACACACACACACACACACACGAGAGCATAGTGCTGCTTCAGCAGTTTATTACCACAGAGATGCGGGCAGGAATCTTAATAATGAGAATTACCACTGTAATTGGTAACAACGTCACAAATCCAACTCTAATCGTCATTCATCTAAAAGACAAGCAGGATTTCATTTTTCTTAGTAAAAGTTTACCTTCAGTTTCTAGAAAAGCTTTGTAGTTTATAACCTTCTGTTGACAGGCACTGAGTGGTTAACGGAGTTTGTGCTCGAGTGAGCATTTTGTATTTAAATCAATCATGTAGAACGAAACAACACAGCCAAATTCTCTAGTTTTTGCTTCACATTGGTAAATGTCACCATCACTTATCTCTGGGAATAAAATGACACTAGCATCCTGCAAACGCTATTAAACATTCTGCTGTTTCTGACGGACTCTGAATGTCAGCGTGCTGTGTAGTTTGTTACTAATTATTTGATATTAAATGTATTTTGTATTAAACCTGTTGCTGAAAATGAGCCTGTTTCTAAAGCTGAACGTTTTACTTTAAAAACACAGAATGTTAGACTGGCAAAGGCCATGACCCATAGACAGAGCTCAGTTGTAAGGGCAGAATCTACAGTCGTCTTTCAGACACACAATTGGAGCAATGAACAATGTGAAATCTTCATAGCAACAGAAATTAGTCTGTGGGCAGTCCGTCATACACAGTTGAAGAGGTAGAGGAAGAAGTACCTCTATCCGCTCATGTCAACGAAATGCCCCAGTCTAAATTGTCCAGCAATTTCAAACGAGTGCTGTTCTATCTTTGTTGTTTTGCTCCCCTTCAGCTCTTCATCGTAAAAAATGCTCTGCCATAGTGTCGCTAAACCTACCCAACGTCTCTTTACAAACCATCATACACATGGTCCACACTGTGTGTTTCGGCCATATCAAAGAACCGCTTCATGTCACACTGAAATCTTGAAAGTGATGGCTCACTACGTGGCCAAAGATTTCAGTGAGTCAAACTTCATGACGTTACGGGACCGAATATATATTTCCTTTATTGTCCATTAGAAGGAAATGTTTTGGTGGAAAAGCGGCAATGTGGATTCACAACAAGTAGAATAAAAAGCTGTACAGTGATTGAAATTATATATGTAAATAATATCTAGAAGATTAAATTGAACACATATGATAAAATAATGCAACATACAAATGTAAAAAACTTACATCCCTGACAAACATATGTCACTAAAAGACAACAGCAAAGAAAAAAGCCCTAGCTTTAAAGTGAAAGTGTGTATTTTTTCTGGCTATAGGGGCAGTAGATACCTAAATCTTTGCAAGCAAGCAGTATTTTTGTGTTGGAGTAAGATCTTACTAATGGATGCCCATTAGGGTCAAAAAACCCTGGGAAGTGCAAACTTTAGCAAAATAACAAGCACATCAGACTCCCTTTAATCACTGGCAACAAGAGGTAAATGTGTAAAACAACAACATTTAACAATGATGAAAGTTTTGTAACCATTTGTTACTAATCAGTAAATGCATTTTGTCTTCATGGGCTCCCGTAGAAGGAAACATGGCATCTAATATGGCTTCGCCCAGAGACTTGGACCCCCTCCCATGTATTTTAGACCTGATTTTTATGGTTATATGCTACAAAGTCGCCAGTATTTTTCAAAAACTGGCCATCATTTCTTTCATTTTCAACAACATTTTGATAGATATTTCCAGATATTCATGGTAAAAACTACACATTGTCTCTTTTAAGGGGAAGTTGAATGTAAAACCATATTTATGTTGCTGCTGAATAAAGGCAGCTTGCGTGGTCAAATGTAGCATACCAAAAAATTCTAAATCATGTAAATTAGTAATGTTGAAAAAGCAAAGGAGCGATGGTTGGCTCTAGAAAAGCTTCAGATAATAAAATAAGCAAGGCACTTCTGCTTACATTTGCATGTTCCAACCCACTTCAACATTAGCAATATTTAAAATCTGGTTGTACTGCTGGTAACGCTAGCCTGAACTACCAACTAGGGCTAGAATTATAGGGGAGCTGGCCTCCCCTTAATGTAATGGTGTGTATTTTCCCTGGCAATAAGGGGCAGAACATACCTAAATAATTGCCAGCAAGCAATAGTTTTGTGTTTACCTTAGCAACGGATGGCCATTAGGGTAAAATTTTTTAGCATTCTAGCAAAATAACAAGCACATCAGACTACTTTTCATCACTGGCAATGAGCAAAGAGGTACATGTGCAAAACAACATTTGTGGATGGTGAAAGTTTTGTAGCTGTTTGTAATAGACCAGTAAATTAATTTTGTCCTCATGGGCTCTCGTGGAAGGAAATATGGCGTCTAAGATGGCGTCGCCATACAAAGCTGCCAATATTTTTCAACATTTGGGCATCATTTAATTCATTTTCAAAAAAAATGTGATGAATATTTCCAGAGATTAACAGTAAAAACTACACATTGTTTTACAGAGAATGGTACATAGGTCCCCCAGAACCCTGTGTGTAATTTGAACCCCAATGCTAACACTAGGCTGCACGACCGCTAACGCCATCATGAGCTACCAACACTCTTGTTGGACTAGAGGTTCAGTAAATAACAGAAAATAATGTTTGAGCACTACTTACCTTCCAGCATGTACTGGGAAATCCAGACTATGAATGAAAGCCAGATAAATCAACACCAAAAGGCCGCATGTGCGCGCAACCCCCACCAACTGCATTCTTGCCTGTAGCCTCCACTGTTGCTAATATTGATACTGCCACTCTATCACTGTACTTATGTCCCTAGTTTTTCACATCACTCCCTGTGTGTATTTTCATTGGTCGATGGCAGACGGGACTCGTAGACTGTTGGTCAGTGGCTGAACTTGTTCAAGAAAGTGCTCAATAGGCTGTCGGTGGGCCAGTCACACTAGACAGCAACAGACCTACTAATAAAGTTTACGTTCACCCTTTTTGGCCACAATTCTGTTCACGCCAAGAGATTTGCCAGGCTTTATGCTCTAACAGAGAGAAAAGGGCTATTGTTCTGTTATGTTTCATGTTTATTAGCGGAAATAAAACGGTTTCTGTACAATCCTAAATATGGCCTTTCAGATATAATTAGTACATTCATTTCATACAATTAAATTCTAGGAAAAATTAAAAGGTTCAACAAGTTGTGAATGCTGCAGATGCGACTTACAGAGATGTAGGCCTCAGCCTCTGTGTTGTTGAACGAGAGATTCACTGGTTTGTCTTTGTTAAAGTAGGGAAACAGGCGCTTGGACCAGAAGGTAGGGATGAATTCTTTATGCTGGAGACCCCAATAAAGGCTGAACACTCTGTGGAGGTCCAAAGCCAGACAGGTGCAGTTGTACACCAGCACACCCAGCTCCTTTCTCTTCACAGAAACACAAAACATTTAGAGGGCCAAATGTTAAACTTGTTACTTTACTTTAATAGGGACAAACATCACACAGTGTTGTAATGTATATTTGGTCTACATTACTGTGGCCAGAGATCTCCAGTCCGTGCTGGCGCTGCCGATGTAGAAATGTTTGCGGTCCACCACCCAGAAGGACGAGTGGATGTTGCCGTTGGTCAGTGCTGTCATGTTCACTTTGTGAACCTCAGCATCTACAAAAAAAACAGAAACAGACACGAAACACAAACTGCATCAAGCAGCAAGAGAAACAAATGAAAAAACAGATCCAGTCCGGAATGATCGACGTCTAACAAGTGAAACTAAGCTGCAGCATGTTTCGGTACAAGCAGGTATAAAACAGAGGGGAGCTGACAGTGATTTGCGAGTGTCTCCAGCTCAGCTGAGTCGACTTCTCCACTCGAGATCTTCAGCTGGATTCCTTTTGCTTTCAGTTGCTGAAGCCTGGACAGCAGATCCCTTCCCTGAGGTAAACACCAAAACACAACTGTCACATAAAATTCACGAATTCTGAAAAGACAGAGTTCAGATTTTATCCTTAAATCTACTTTAATGCTGCATCGCCATTGGGAATCTTTCATGTGCTCTTTCTTATCTCCACGTTTTAACCTAAAATTTAAAAATATATCATCTAGATAGCTCCAGGCTGAAAACCTATTACCCCATCTTTGGTCTGAGGCTCTTGGCTCAGGTTCTCATAAAATCTGTTAAACTTTATGTGTGAAACACAACTGTGCAGGTGTGTACATGTGCACTAAAAGCGACCTGGACAACCCCCAGGCAGCAGTCCATAGCACACCTAGTTTCAGTTCAAAATGATGCGCTCTGCAGGCATCTGAACACACTACATCACATTATAATGCTCAGTAGAAATATACTGCTTTTGCCAGTTTTAGCAGAGTATACTGTACTAGGAGTCTGTTTCTTCAAAACTAAGATAAATTTATTATTATTTTTTAAAATTTGTTCCAATATTACCTGTTTGGCAGCAAGCTGGAAGTTGAATTCAGAGGAATTGAGGAGCCACACTGGAGAAACAATCTCTACGACCCGCTCAGCTCTGTCCAGTAAGTTGTTCAGTCCTACTGAGAGGGGTAGGTGCGATGTGCTGTTGTCCGAGAAGGAGATGCTGTCTGGGATGTTCTCCACAAGCACCACACTGTTAATCATAAGAACAACACATCTATCTTTAAAAAGATGCTAACAAAGCCAGCTTCAACCGTGCTTTGGTTTGCTTCATTTCCTGCTTCATCCTAACCTCCAGTAGTCTAGCTAATTGCTCCATACCTGTGGTTCTTTAATTGCAAATAACTGTCAAGCAGGCTCAATTTCAATTACACACACGCTGTGGCAAATGCAGAAAAATTGAACACGAGGGATTATCTGTTGGCTTTTGTGAACAGGTTATTATTAGATCAGATTTTTTTTTCCTGTACCCACATGGCAAATTGACTTACTGCATTCAACTTTTTTTCTGTGGATCATTAGCTTAATGAGAGAAATCAAATTTTCTAGATCCACACATGCCCTCCGATTCCATCAAGCTTTATTACATTTTGTACAGGTTGCCTCTAGCAGAAGCTGAATGAGAAACATAAGAAGACTGATGAGTCTAGGGCAAATGTAATACTGCACATAAAGGAAAGGCAACATTTCTGTTATTTTGTTTGTTTATTTGCTATTTATCATTTAAGCCACTTTTCTTACAGAGAAACTGTGAATTTAGTTTTGTATCAAAATGTCTCCCAGTGGGGATGATTTAGTGTTTTGGTTTCTGTGGATTTTTGTTTAATGTTAAGGGTTAAAAAAATAACTAGAATGAAAGATAAATAAATGCATTTCTTACTTTCCTTAACCATCCCAATGTCTGAGCACCACCTCACCCCTGCCACATGGACCTCAAGGGATAAATCATCAATCCTGCTCAATGGTCAACTTTCCTTGCGGGGTCACCCATGAAGACAGTGAGAGGGTTAAAGCTCATTTTATTATTATTTTTTTGAATAAATCTGCTGTGGTCTCTAGTATGAATGACTGCCTTGTGAATTGTTCTCTGCAGACAAAAGTGTCTGGCGGTCCTGTTTCAGGAAGTAGAATTTAGCTGCAGCAAAGAGGGAGATTTAGAGTCTTACTTATTATTTATTCATGATATTGGGATATCTCACCTCCGATTGGCTAACAGCAACGCGACTCTTCCCCTGCCCCCGTTTTCTTTGCAATGTTGATGTTTTACTTCCACAAATAACACAGGCCTGAAGGAGTTCTGCCATGTTGTGGAGTTGCTAATGCTAACAGTTAGCTTCTGCTAGTTGAGACACACTCCTGGCTGCAAAAATCAATTCCAGTGTTTAGGAAAACACGTCAGACATTAACAACGTGTTTTAATATTGCTTGATGAAAAATTGAAAAATCGTCAGACAAATTGACCGACATGCTTCTTTTAATGTAGAAAAAAAAATCCTGAAAATTATAACATGCAGACTGTCATTCAACAATCTGCATGGAGTCTGTGACCTAGACATTTTTTCCATGATGCATCAGAGATCACCTTTGATCTCTCTAGCGGTCTGCAGCAACAAGGCAGCTTTATTTATGTAGCACATTTCATACACAGAGGCACTTCAAGGTGCTTTCCATTAGCAAGAAAAGCAAGAACATTAAAATCTGCATGACAGAAAAACAATAATAAAAAAAAGAAACAAAGTTAAAGTTAAATGGTGAGCAAATACAGTGCAGAAGGTGCAACATAAGCACATTTATTTAAAGGCTGATGAAAACATTAAGGTTTTCAATTTTGATTTAAAAGTCACTAGTGACTTGATGTTTCAATTAAATGTTGGGGCACATTTGAGGTCATACAGAAGCTAATTCCATCTGTGTGCAGTAGTAGTGTAGTAGGTAAAATTCACCCTGTCATCACATTCTTCCGATTGTTATCACTGATCTGCGCACCGGAAGTTTTAAGGACACCGTACAAACGCGAAGTAAAATCATTTCTTATTATTGTAATGTTTGTGCAGCACTAAAGCACCAGACAGACAGAGGACTAATTTCTTGCTGCATATGATCATATTTCAACAATAACAAGAAAAGAAAATGTTAGTTCTGTTTGTTTGCACCTATTAAAATACTCAGGACCAGTTTGCTCCAGCCATTCTTTCTCCTTTACATTTGATGTCCCGTTGGTTGTCGGAGCATCTGATGTCCCTCTGGATGATGCGCAATGTGTTCTTCTATTAAAGAAAATAAAGAGTTTCTCAGTGAACCTGCTCTTTAAAGTAACACTAGATTGTTTTTAAAACATTAACATTTATCTCAGTGATTGATTGGTGATTTAGAAACTTGACCAGTTTCATATTTGACACCACTCTGCACCCCTCTGCTGACCAATATCCACATTTGATAGTTTTGTGTAGTGGTGTTCTAGGGGGTACTCTCTACTTGCTCTACGGCTGTTAGCTGTAATGCTAACAGCCGTAATGCTAACAGCCTAAGCTAGATTGAGGGAGCAAAAGGAGGCTCCAAAATCACGGACTGATGCAGCAGGGCCAACTCCCACACTTTGAGCGTGAGGAACACACACCTGACCCTCTTCACACACTCACACACCACCTACAAAATCTCACAAAATCTACCCTCCTCCCCCTAACAGAGGCAATATTCTAGAGTCACGGAGGTGAAACGGGCCGCTTGCACCCCATCCCCCCACCACCCCCACCCCACCCCCACACACACACCTAACCAGTGTGGATCTCCACTGACATCATATATTAAATATATTAAATTGCAGTTTCAGTTGACACTTTGCATATCGTTTTCCATGTTTGTTGGGATTCATTGGAGCTCACAAAAGAACTGGAGCAGCAAAGCATACAGTATGCACCTTCTGTAGCAATTACTATTCCGTCATTTCTAAATGTGTACACCCCCGCATCGTGATTTTTGTATGCAACCATCAGCAATTTTAGAGCAATAATATCTAAATGCAGGTGTGATGATAAAATGAAATCACATACAGAAGCGATACAACCCTGCAATGCATTAGCTGCAAGCCAGATTTATTTAATTGTGGCTCTACACGTGAAATGTTCCGTTCATTTTGACACACCTAGATATTTGTACTAATGACAAACAGCACACATTTAATAAGAAAAATGCTTGTAGATAGTTGTTTTTACTCTTTGAAGTTCTGAAAAGATCATTGTAAAAATCGAACTTGGTATTTGACCAGCATCCGTAAACAGAACGAGGGCAGTAGCGCTGAAGTGAATGGGCTGGAGTACTGATGTAAAGCCTTTTTCTGCAGCCACTCAGAACCAAGCCATTATCAAGCTCCAACACCACGTAGTATCTGCATCTGCCTACACACCGATGTCTCCCAACTGGATCTCAAGAGAGAAATATAAATGGAGCAGCAGCTGTTTCTGTGTGGGTGAACAGCTTTAATATAGTTGATTAAACATCTGGATAATATGTTTTCCATGATACAACCATCCCTGAGAGGGAATTCCCCCCATTCTCATGTGCAAGGATTTATCAAACCAAGGAATAATATATACACTATGTAATAAACAGTATTCTTTATTTCCTCATCCATTATGGTCAACCAATCAGCTCAACAATGTTAAGAAAACCTCATTAGAGCTATTGATGCATGTCTGCTTTGTTACTAAGACGATTGAATGATTAATTTAGGTAATTAACAAATCATTTTTTGTGGTAAGATAGTAAGTAAGTGGTAGTAGTAAGTTTTGTAGTTATATCTTAAATATTATATCACATTACTGAAGCTTAAAAGAACACAAAGCAAAGACAATTATATTAAGTGACTTTCACTCATTTATTACTGTGAAATTAGATATGAGGTGCAATATCCATAAGGAGAGCAAGTTCTTGTCTGCTGGTTGGTTTGAACATCTGAGTACTTATGGGGACACATAGAGGTTACGCCTAACATTTGTCTCTGATGCATTTATTACAGCTAGATGGAGTATCTACTGGTTAACAAGCATATCACATAAAAAAATTGTTGATCCGTTTTATTAAGATGGCGGCTTCACGTTTCTTGTTTATGAATGTGCATTTGTAGCCGACAAACAGAGCTAAAACACGTTGTTTGCAAGTATTATTCTTGTGTTGTGTTTTTTCACATATTTATATTTGAAAGACTTACTTGTCCGTGAACAGTTCATCAACTCAGCATCAGCCGAAGTACGCCCTTAAATTTGACGCACATAAGCTGTAGTCTAATGCTATTGGCTGGTTCTGGTCGATGCTCAGTTTCCTTATGCACTGAGTTCTGCAGGGCAGGGGGCGTGCGTAGCAAAATAAAATAAAATAAAATAAATAACGTATTGCTTACATTATCACAGTACACGATGAGACAATCACTTTAGCAGATTTCTGAAAAATCTTACATAATCTTCAAAAGTTGAACACTCCAGAAAGCTACTTTAAGTGTAGTTTGAATAACAGCACAGACTGTCACGTTGAGAGAGCAGGAGGATTGGACACAAAATGCAGAACACCAGAACTACTCAGGCAGTAGCGGTTGTTTAAATAAAATTCCTTTTATTTAGGATGATGATCAGACTCAAAAGGTGCAGGACTCTAAGCCTAAAATCTAAAACACTGAAGGACAAAAACAAAAGCTCACTTATAAGCCAGAACCTAGAGTTTCTAGAGAGGGACAAAACAACGCTGATAAAGACAATGGACCAACACACACTGAGGCCTAGTCCACACGTAGCCGGGGTTTTTTTTTAAAACCAGTATCCGCCCCTCCAGAAACTTGCATCCACAGCACCTCGTTTAAAAAAAAAACTGTCCACAAGTACCCGGATAAACACGTTGCTAAGGACATGCCAGACCTGTAGGCGGCAGCACTTGGAGAAACCAGGTGCCGGGCAATAGCCGTTCTTAACCTTGTCCTTCGTCTGTGGTCTTCCGCAAGGAGCAGTAATTCCGCTTGCAAAAACAAACAAGCAAAAAGCGCTTGGACAATTGATAAAGCGAGTGCAGCTCTGAGGGCATCCATGCTGTCGGCTAGTGTAAACACAGGTCGCACACGTGATGTCAGCATTTTTTTGTCGCGGAAAGTGACGTTGCGGACCTTAAAACTCCGGTTTTGTCTGTCCACACGCAGACACCCAAAACGGA